GCAAAACGCTAAACACATTCTCATTCTCAAAACATATTCTGCACTGTAATGCACACGTCATCCATACTGGTAAACACAAGTAGCAATGATCAAATACAAATAGAGAACACATGTCATTGATTGAACACAACCACTCAAAATTGATTTAACCTGTTTCAAATGATGCCCAAAGACAAGAAGAAGCACACTGATCACGTTTACTCCTTTGATTTTTGTCCCTTTTAGTATTGTATACTGTAGTACAGTGCATTGTAGGCTGTATACTGTACAATGAACAAATTATATGGCCCCGAACATCATTACTGTAACAGTACCATTTGTTACAGTACTGAATGCTCAATAGATTTTACTGGTTGCAGGTTCATATCAACAAAGAACAAGAATTACAGTATCAAACAATAGAACTGACAAAGGAGAAGTTTGTGAGATGCAGGGCACTGTACTGTAAAAATAGGGGTACAAGGAGGAGGAAGAACAAATAAAATTGCAAAGAGCAAAGCAGAGTAGTAATTTCTGATCAATTTTGCGCTACTATGATGTTTTCATTCATCAAAAGACAATGACGGACAAATATGAAATTTGTTTTAGGATTACAGTTTTTCTCAATTGCTAAAACACTAGAACCCATTGGCTGAACACAGTTCTCAGTTGCCTGAACTCATTTAGCTAATTGTGCAGTCTGTTGTCAATACCTTAAACTATTTCACATGGCAAAACACAATTTGCAGATCTTACTTAGACTTTTCAGCAAAACGCTAAACACATTCTCATTCTCAAAACATATTCTGCACTGTAATGCACACGTCATCCATACTGGTAAACACAAGTGGCAATGATCAAATACAAATAGAGAACAAATGTCATTGATTGAACACAACCACTCAAAATTGATTTAACCTGTTTCAAATGATGCCCAAAGACAAGAAGAAGCACACTGATCACGTTTACTCCTTTGATTTTTGTCCCTTTTAGTATTGTATACTGTAGTACAGTGCATTGTAGGCTGTATACTGTACAATTAACAAATTATATGGCCCCGAACATCGTTACTGTAACAGTACCATTTGTTACAGTACTGAATGCTCAATAGATTTTACTGGTTGCACTTGCAGGTTCATATCAACAAAGAACAAGAATTACAGTATCAAACAATAGAACTGACAAAGGAGAAGTTTGTGAGATGCAGGGCACTGTACTGTAAAAATAGGGGTACAAGGAGGAAGAACAAATAAAATTGCAAAGAGCAAAGCAGAGTAGTAATTTCTGATCAATTTTGCGCTACTATGATGTTTTCATTCATCAAAAGACAATGACGGACAAATATGAAATTTTTTTTAAGATTAAAAATGTACTTCTCCCTGAAATTTTGATGGTACAGTAATGTGTCACGGGTAAGTCTACAAACAGAATAGCCGTCCGTAGATATCTTTCGAGAACTGTATGTTTTGAACAATTTGTTTTCTATTTTTTGGTGTATTGTTTACTGACTGCTTGATAGTGTATATCATTTTGATCACTTTGTCTATGATTTGAGAGCAGTGTTTGATTTTGAACACAAGTAAAACTGTTTTGAGGCGAAAGTTTCATTTTGCAAGAAGAGTCAGAGGTTTTGTAAATAGTGCTTGAAGATGAGGTTTTGTGTTTAATGTTTTCAGAAAAAGGAGCAAGGATTCAGACATTATGTTTTAGCAATTGAGAAAAACTGTAAAAATGGACTTCTCCCTGAACTTTTGATGGTACAGTAATGTGTCACGGGTAAGTCTACAAACAGAATAGCCGTCCGTAGATATCTTTCGAGAACTGTATGTTTTGAACAATGTGTTTTCTATTTTTTGGTGTATTGTTTACTGACTGCTTGATAGTGTATATCATTTTGATCACTTTGTCTATGATTTGAGAGCAGTGTTTGATTTTGAACACAAGTAAAACTGTTTTGAGGCGAAAGTTTCATTTTGCAAGAAGAGTCAGAGGTTTTGTAAATAGTGCTTGAAGATGAGGTTTTGTGTTTAATGCTTTCAGAAAAAGGAGCAATGATTCAGAAATTGTGTTTAAGCAATTGAGAAAAACTGTAATAATAATAATAATTGACCCCATGTAGTGAGAGATGCAGTGAGAGGTGCAGTGAGTGATGCAGTGAGTGATGCAGTGAGTGATGCAGTGAGAGATGCAGTGAGAGGTGCAGTGAGTGATGCAGTGAGAGGTGCAGTGAGTGATGCAGTGAGAGATGCAGTGAGAGGTGCAGTGAGAGATGCAGTGAGAGATGCAGTGAGTGATGCAGTGAGAGGTCCAGTGAGTGATGCAGTGAGAGGTGCAGTGAGTGATGCAGTGAGAGGTGCAGTGAGTGATGCAGTGAGTGATGCAGTGAGTGGTGCAGTGAGAGGTGCAGTGAGAGGTGCAGTGAGAGGTGCAGTGAGAGATGCAGTGAGTGATGCAGTGAGAGATGCAGTGAGAGATGCAGTGAGAGATGCAGTGAGTGATGCAGTGAGTGATGCAGTGAGAGGTGCAGTGAGAGATGCAGTGAGTGATGCAGTAAGAGATGCAGTGAGAGGTGCAGTGAGTGATGCAGTGAGAGGTGCAGTGAGTGATGCAGTGAGAGGTGCAGTGAGAGATGCAGTGAGAGATGCAGTGAGTGATGCAGTGAGTGATGCAGTGAGAGGTGCAGTGAGAGATGCAGTGAGAGGTGCAGTGAGTGATGCAGTGAGAGGTGCAGTGAGAGATGCAGTGAGTGATGCAGTGAGTGATGCAGTGAGAGATGCAGTGAGAGATGCAGTGAGTGATGCAGTGAGTGATGCAGTGAGTGATGCAGTGAGAGATGCAGTGAGAGGTGCAGTGAGAGATGCAGTGAGTGATGCAGTGAGTGATGCAGTGAGAGATGCAGTGAGAGGTGCAGTGAGTGATGCAGTGAGAGGTGCAGTGAGTGATGCAGTGAGGTGCAGTGAGAGATGCAGTGAGAGGTGCAGTGAGTGATGCAGTGAAAGGTGCAGTGAGAGATGCAGTGAGTGATGCAGTGAGAGATGCAGTGAGAGGTGCAGTGAGTGATGCAGTGAGAGGTGCAGTGAGAGGTGCAGTGAGAGATGCAGTGAGAGGTGCAGTGAGAGGTGCAGTGAGTGATGCAGTGAGAGGTGCAGTGAGAGGTGCAGTGAGTGATGCAGTGAGAGGTGCAGTGAGAGGTGCAGTGAGAGATGCAGTGAGAGGTGCAGTGAGAGGTGCAGTGAGTGATGCAGTGAGAGGTGCACTGAGTAATGCAGTGAGAGATGCAGATGCAGTGAGAGATATGCAGTGAGAGGTGCAGTGAGAGGTGCAGTGAGAGGTGCAGTGAGAGATGCAGTGAGAGATATGCAGTGAGAGGTGCAGTGAGAGGTGCAGTGAGTGATGCAGTGAGAGATGCAGTGAGTGATGCAGTGAGTGATGCAGTGAGAGATGCAGTGAGAGATGCAGTGAGAGATGCAGTGAGAGGTGCAGTGAGAGGAGCAGTGAGAGGTGCAGGTGCAGAGAGAGGTGAAAAAAACTGATTTGCTTTTTACTGGAATGCTTTTGAATGTGAACAGTACGGTACATGTGGACATAAAAGTCCCAACCAAGAAATTTAGTGTAAAAACGGGGGATTGCATTTTTTGCATGCAAATACCTGTAAAAATGACACATAAAAGTCTATGTAGTTTTTGTAATGTCAACAATAGCCATTATTTTGAAACCTGGTGTACTTTGATTGACTGCATGTACCTTGTGAAGTGAAAACAAGTGTTATTCTTTGACAGAATAATTTCATTTTGAGTCAGATTTCCAGTGTTTTGGGAAATTTAGTGTGTAGAGAAAGATGTGTTCTATTTTGAAATGAAGAGTTAGTATATATTTAACAAAATGTGTTTTTGAGAAGAAAATCATCCATTTGGCCAATTGTGTTTTGTTGGTGTGAGTCTGTGTTAAGAGTTTCGAAAAAGTATCTGAAGTATGGGTAAGCGCTTGTTGGCGATTGAAAAAAAACTGTAAGACAACCACATAAAAGACTTGAACGCTTTGTGTGGCACTTCAATTTATGCTTAGCTGGAACAATGCTAATTTACTCACCATTGTGTGACTGTTGCAGTGTTAACTTCTGGGAGCTGGATGGTGGTCTCGCTCATCACCTTAGCATTGGTGAGGATGCACTCTCGGATGTGCTTGTAGGCACGCACCACCATTGTGAAGCGGGACACCCTCACTCCATCACACCGCACCACGTTTGGATAGAGGGCACAGAGCCTTGTGAAGATGGCCTCCACCACTCGGTTGCAGCTAGGCCACTGTGCAGGACTATGAGCCCCAACGAAACACCTGCAAATTACAGCAGAATACATATTCATTTCAATGTGTGATCGTTACTCTTGTTTTTTCCCCCCTTTTCTAATCTGTCTGTTTTGCTTTGGGTTGTCTAGATGTAAATTTTTAATATCTGTGCATAGTTATGTTTTGTGGTTTGTTTTATACAAAATTTAAGACAATCAAGAACCTGTGTTTGCTAAATTTAACATACCTTTCGGTGCTCTCCACACCTGGTGCCACAATCTTCTAAGTGGCTCTGAATCGTCCCTGTTTTAGGGAGGTTTGGTGACGTCGTGGGTAAATGGTTTTCCTCTTGTCATACTCCCCCAATGCCTGCCATAGGGTGATGATCTTGACGCACTCTTCTCCAGGCAAGGCCAGACGGTGGTCTCTGAGGCTTACCAAGAACTCTGCCAAGTCCTGCACCGCTACATACCCCCCAATATTATCAGGTCCAACAGAATCCTAAAATAAAAGATAATTTAGGAACTTTTGATAGCAGCAATGAATACAAATATTCACATGAAAGCACAGCAAACATAACTAAGATTTTGTTTACAGACGTAAATGTACACTGGGCCCTTACATCATGTGAAGTGTTCTCTTCAGATGTCAGAAGACCAGTTTCAGCTGATAATTGGTCCACTGGAACTACATGAAAAAGGCAAACATTCAGTTTAAATTTGTATTTTTGCCTTTCAATAAGACATATATACATAGAGGTGGTGGTAATTGTTGTCACAATAACTCTATATAGATACTTTGGTAAACTCACAGCTATGTGCTCCAGGAAAGAGTCCTGGCTTTGAATGACTGTGCAGTGGGCTGGTGACAGGAGACGGAGGGACCACAGACAATGATGAAATGGAGCAGGTGACAGATGTCACTGGTGATGGAGGAACCACAGACAATGATGAAATGGAGCTGGTGACAGGAGATGTCACTGGTGATGGAGGAACCAGAGACAATGATGAAATGGAGCTGGTGACAGGAGGGGTTGGAGATGATGCTGCAGACACTGATGCTTGTGAAGAGGCAACAGGTGTCCGTTCTGTGTCAAAGGTGGGGACAGTGATGTCCTGAAACTCCTCAAGTTCAGCATAACCTTCATCCACTTCTATACCAACCTCAGTGGTCTCGGACTCTTCAATGGCCAACTTGTAGTCCTGCAGAACTTTACCAGTTTGCTGGTAAAGGTATTCCACTCCAATAAGCTCACCTTTAAAATATTTAAACATTGAAAATTAGATAATATACCAGGATATTATATTATAATTCAGAGGTTAAATGGTATGTGTACACTTAAAAAAAAATTTGACCAAAACAACAAATAGTTATCTACCAGTGTACTTTCTTGGCCCAACATAAGGGATGATTTTCTTGCCCATAACCTCCTCTGCAAGAGTATTGACAGCATGACGCAGAAGATGATTGTAGGAATGGGGCTGCTGCTCATCAGTTGTTGCTGCCACAGCCCGGTCCTCATTCCACCTTCCAAGTCCATCCAAAAGATACGCCTGGAAGAAGGTGTCACTCGCCAGCGTACCTGTAAATTCAAAATAGAAAAATAAGACCACACAAAAATGTCATATGGATACACAAATAGCTGTTCCCATAGTTATTTTAATATATAATTAAATCAAATCTTATTTTAATAATTCAGTTAAGTCACTTATTTACCTGGGATGAATCTGTTAAGGTGCAGGTGAAATGACTCAAGCGAAGTGGAACCTCTGGCACAGCGGTAGGTTGGCAGACGGTGCCCTCCCTTCACTACAGTGCCCGTCTGCATGTAGAGCTGCACACCTACAGGATCCTGGATGCAGGCCACATGCTTCCGCTGGGACTTCAATATCTCTCTCATCCGGGCTGAGTTTATTAGTGGGACTCCCATAGTGTCACGACCAGCATCTCCATCAAAGGCCTGAATATGGCTCTCAATCAGCGCCAGGGTGTCCTTGGTCCCGCGAGTGGTTCTCCTGCAATGTAGGGCTAGCTCGTTACGGCTGATACTGCGCAGCACATCAGCCTCGGATGTAGGTTTCCAGTTAGCTTCTAGCTCTGCATGCTTTGCCTTCTTCAGGGCCGTCAGGTCAACCTGGTCCCACATGAAAATACAGTGGCTGAGGCGACTCATAAATGTGGCATACAACTGATGAGAGTCAGTGGTGCAACCCACAGCAAACCTCCGCATGAAGTGCCATACATCCAAACGGATGATCATTTGCTCCCACTCTTCAAACATTCTTCTCAGAAGAGTGTTGCCACAGCAGTCTCGGTCAACATACAGTATCTCGGGAGGAGCCACCCCAGCCACTCTGTATCTTTTAATGAGGCCTTCAATCATTGGCCCGAGACCAAAACCTTCACTGGCTGTGAGCACGGACATGATCACCTGTCCGTGCTCATTGCCAACATTGGTTGCCCAGGTAGCAGTGCCATAGCTGTGTCCAGCTAGTTTTCTGGCCACTTTTTTTGTTGAATCCATTTTTAAGATCCGACCATATTGCGATGTGATAGTGGCCTTGATCTCATCCAGCCTTTGCAGGACATCCTGGGCGTACACCTGCATCAGCCACCGATGCTTAGGGACAGAAGGCATTGAAGGAGCAGATTCAAATGTCACAGGCAGGATCAGGCTCGAAGTGACAGCACTGGCAATCCCCTTGCAATCTGTCAGATACTGGACTGTCTTTTGCAACCACACCTCAGTATGACGTTCCTGCAGCTTGCGCTGGATCTGGCTGCTGCTGTTTCCCAGCCCTCGCTGACGCATCAAACATACTACCTCGACGTCACATGCAAGTTTTGATGTAAGAATGCAAGGGAACTGCACCCTGTGGCCAATGTCGAGCTGGGAGACGATATCATGGCTCCAGCTGATGACCTTCCTCTTACATCTTCGGCAGGCCAGGTACTCAGATGCCACAAAGTATATCTTACCCAAGGCAAACACCTGCCTGATCTTTTGATGCAAGCCAGCTGAGGTCAGAAGGTCTTTCTGACAGTCTGGATGTGGACAGGTCAGCTTCACTTGCCACAGTTTTCGTGGCATCCAGAGCAGCAGGGGATGGCCAAAGTAGTTCTCTAAGGGAGGGCAATTACTGGTCTTCAGTGGAACCTGTGGAGGATACCACCAAAGTTTGTCCACCCTGCTAAAGATCAGCTCAGGATGGCCCTGTGCTGTCCACCTGAACAGGGCCTTGGAAATCCACCTCTGATCCACTTCAGGCAGAGTGTGTATCCATCCAGATGGAAGACAGACTCGTTGTGCTGGGGAAAAAAAAACAAAAAATGTAATAAATACAACAAATGCAAATTCACAATAACTTCCCTTAACTTTTTTATCCCTGGAATGGAACTTGAATATTTTGTTGCATATTTTAAATAAGTATAAACGTACATGCCAGATGTGCCATCTCAAACTTAGTTGCCTCTGCCAGCAGTGTGCTGTCATCTATCTCAATGGACACAGTCGGGCGAGTGAGGATAGCTGAGGTCCCTGTGGCTGCCTCAATGGACACAGTCGGGCGAGTGAGGATAGCTGAGGTCCCTGTGGCTGCCTCAATGGACACAGTCGGGCGAGTGAGGGTGGCTGAGGGCCGCGTACGTGCCTGGGCCAAAGCTACAAAACAAAACACAGAACAGATAAACATGACTACAGAACAATAAATCCTAAAATCCTACAAAGCAATAAATACTAAACACACCAAAAAAGTGTTATACAAATAAATGTTTGCTTACAAGGTGTGGATTTGACGGGGGAAACCAGCCTTTCAATGGTCTTGGTCAGGCTTTTCTGGTTAGGCAACTTCCTAAACAAGAGGAAGCGGAGAGAGGCGGTGGAAGTATGGGTGGAGGCAGCGTGCTGGGTGGTGGTTGTAGCGTGCTGGGTGGAGGCAGCGTGCTGGGTGGAGGCAGCGTGCTGGGAGGTGATGGTAGCGTGCTGGGTGGTGATGGTAGCATGCTGGGTGGAGGCAGCGTGCTGGGTGGTGGTTGTAGCGTGCTGGGTGGAGGCAGCGTGCTGGGTGGTGGTAGCGTGCTGGGAGGTGATGGTAGCGTGCTGGGTGGTGGTGGTAGCGTGCTGGGTGGTGGCAGCGTGCTGGGTGGTGGTAGTGTGCTGGCTGGTGGTAGCATGCTGGGTGGAGGTAGCGTGCTGGGTGGTGGCAGCGTGCTGGAGAGCTTTCCCAGCATATTGCTCTTCCTTCATGGCAATGGCAATTCTGCCAGAAGGAAAAAGCTCAAAATACTCCCTGAAACTCTCTTTGTTGTGGGCATGTTCTTGGGAGTCTTTGCTGCCTCCTGTGGGGTCCCTCTTCATAGCTGCCACCAAGTAAGCTGCATACCCCAGGGCATTTTCAGCCACCCACTTGAATGTTTGCCCTCGAAATACACCAAACTGGATTTCAAAGAAACCCAGCAGGTGCTTTCTGTTAGCTAGATCTCCGTGGTGCTGACTTAAGCTTTTCTTGGCCTTGTCCAGCACTATGTCAGGGGACAGGGGTCTTGTGTACGGCTTTCCTTTGTTGGCCTCCTTCACCTTTGCCGCTTCCATTGTATCAGTCAGATTCAGGCTGCCATCAGCTCGTCTCCTGAAGCGAGGTTCCATCTAAATAAATAAAAAAGTTTGAAGATATAAAGACTTTAGAGAAAGAAACAGACAAACACATTTGGTAACACATTAGTTAATACAGCCGTGCATATTACATTACTATATTTACTCATGATCACCTTGTAATGTTGATTATATATTATGCTTTGTGTGTCTATATTTTTCTACCTTGTAATGTTGATTATATATTATGCTTTGTGTGTCTATATTTTTCTACCTTGTAATGTTGATTATATATTATGCTTTGTGTGTCTATATTTTTCTACCTTGTAATGTTGATTATATATTATGCTTTGTGTGTCTATATTTTTCTACCTTGTAATGTTGATTATATATTATGCTTTGTGTGTCTATATTTTTCTACCTTGTAATGTTGATTATATATTATGCTTTGTGTGTCTATATTTTTCTACCTTGTAATGTTGATTATATATTATGCTTTGTGTGTCTATATTTTTCTACCTTATAATGTTGATTATATATTATGCTTTGTGTGTCTATATTTTTCTACCTTGTAATGTTGATTATATATTATGCTTTGTGTGTCTATATTTTTCTAACAGGCTTAAAATGTTGATTTACATATCAGAATCTTAGAATGATCCCAGAGTAAGAGGTCATTTTTTCAATAATTATTATACCATTATTATACCATTGTTATACCACTACTTTCCCCTCTTTTAAATCCTTTGCTCTATTACAAGTAACAGTTAAATGTAATGCATTCAAAATGTTAGCCTACTTAACGTTAGCTAAAACAAGTTAGTTTAGCATCAAAATATAGTAAAAGTACTAAAAGTAGAAGCATAATGTACACTATATTACAGTAATTGAATTATAATTAGTGATGCCTTAGTGTGTAACAATCATTTTAATGTTGCAACTGGTAAAGCTGTAGTAAACTGTAACGTTATATGCTTTGTTCTGCTTGGTCGCTTTATCTATAAATACATTTTTTAATTATATTTTGTATTAATTACTTGAATTATTAGCTAGTCTGAGACACAGGTTATTTATATAAAACAACTATATATTTGGCACTTCACTTTTATTGACAAAAGACTGACTTACTTTGCGAATTTTGATCCAAAGTTAATCAATGAATGTTATCCTCTTCTCCGGTCCCAATTCGCAAGTCTCTGGGGGGGGAGGTGACTCTTGACGTTTATTGGCCAATTCTTGGTTAGTTACTAGGCTGAATCATGGTAGCGATGAGAGCCGCGATTGGCCATAAGCGTACGAATCTTGGTTGCAGCAGGGAACGTGATTGGCTGTCATAACCAAGAATAGTACGAATCTTGGTTGCAGCAGGGAAGGTGATTGGCTGTCATAACCAAGAATAACCACGATTTACAGGCGGCATGAAGCGCCACAGAGCCACAAAAAGCCAAGCTTTAAGACGCTATTGCATGCACATCACTTCTTAGATTTCCACTTTTTGTGCAGATACACACTGTTCAGCATCCAAAGATTTACGTATGTAAAAACGGTAGGTGAGCGGTGCCCACATGCCACGGCACAGGCACTGCTGGGATTCGAACCCAGAATCTCCTGTTTACTAAGCCACAGCGCCACTTGCTAAACCTTCTGCGATGTGTTGGAATAAAAAGTAAAAAAAAAAAAAAAAAGAGGTTGCAGGTCAGGAAAATAGCGGATTACATCATGAAAGAGGTTAGGGGATTATTTCCAAAACCCGAGATATCCGAGGGAATATCTGAAACTCTCAATACTTGTGTCTGAAATGTTTTTGGAACCTCCAGTTACAATCCATCTCAACTCTGTCTCAGCTTGGAGAAATGGAAAGCAATTTTTGCTATGCTTTCAGCTGATCTGAAAGACAAAATCCCGAAAGATTTTTATGAATTAAATATTCATATTTGTAAAGACTGTTTTGAACACACATCCAGAGGCTAGATCTCAACAATAGGAAGTAGCAGATTTTGGCCTAAGCCAGTGGTTTTCAAACCATTCTCGAAACCTCCCAGACGCTATACATTTTCGTTATCCTCTTTATTTCAAAACGGTGAATTGAGCTAATTACTAGAGTACTCTGTGATCCGAGTTGGCTGTGTCCAATAAGGGAGATGAGCAGAATGTGAGGGGTAGGCTTCTGAAGTAGTTTGTGGACCCCAGTTTTGAACATATGTCTGACTCACAGAGACATCAGAGCAAAAGAGGCCATTCACACTTCTGGTGGGACTCAAAACCACAACCAGGGAATTTCTCCATTCGCATCCTAGAAGTCCAAAGCTCCATCAATTGCACCACAGAGCCATAAAATGACCCACTTCAAGGAATTATTGCATGCGCAGCGCTTCTTCGTTTTTCCAATTTTGTGCAGGTACACACTATTCGGCATGCAAAGACTTTCATATGTGAAAAGTTTAAGCACTCCCATATCCTCTGGCATAGGCACTGCTGGGATTTGAACCCAGGATCTCCTGTTTACGAGACAGGCGCTTTGACCAGCTAAGCCACAGCGCCAGTTACAAAAGTGTGGTGAAATTTGTCGGTAAAACAAGTCTAAAAGAGGTAGCACATAAGGAAAAAAGCTGATTACGTTATGAAAGAGGTCCCTTAGAGGTAAGAGGATTGTTTCCAAAACATGATGGCCTTTCAGGCCTCAAGGGAATGTCTGAACTCATTTCATTTTGGCTCTACACTCTCAACACTCATGCCTAAAATGTTTCCTGAGCTTTCTTCTGATATGAAAGGGCAAAATCCAGAAAGATATCCATGTATTATTCTTCATATATGTAAAGACTTTGTTTGTACAAATATCCATAGGCTTGACTTTATCAATAGGTAGTAGCAGATTTCGGCCCTAAGCCAGGGGCTTGCAGACCATTCTTGAAGCGCATCTGCACCACATATATGTTTGTATTATCTCTCTCTCATTTAAAACAGGTGAATCAAATAATTGACTGATTAGTAACGTACTCAATGATCTGACTTGTGTGTGCCCAATGAGGAAAACAAGAAAAATGTGCTGTGTCGGCTCCTGAAAAAGTTGGAAAACCCCAGGTTTAAGCAAATGTCAGTCTGGTAAAGACGTCTATGCAAAGGGACACCATTCGTGACTCAGGTAGGACCCAAAAACCAACAACGCCTGCATTTGCAACCGAGAGGTCCAGATTGTCTTTCCTGCCGAGACTTTAACATCTGAAAAGGTTGAACGACTACTCTTAGAAGCCACAGATTAGGCACTGCTGGGATTCGAACCCAGGATCTCCTGTTTACTAGACAGGCGCTTTGACCAACTAAGCCACAGCGCCAGGTGCTGTCCCTGATTCGATGCTTTTGTATAGAAAGTCTAAAAGAGGTAGCACGTCAGGAGAATAGCTGATTACATCATGAATATGTCCCTTTGAAGTTAGAGGGTTATTTCCAAAACCTGAAAGGTGTGCAGGCTTCTGTTCAGGGACATGGGAATATCTCAAACCATTTCATTTTGGATCGAAACTCTCAGTTACGATACATCTAAACGCTGTTTCAGCTAGGAGAAATGGAAAGCATGTTTTTTTTCTTTTGCTAGGTAGGTGGCCAACAATAGGTAGTTGCAGATTTTGGCCTGAGCCATTGGATTTCAACCCATTCTTGTTATCTCCCTTATTTAAATAGGTGACTTAAGCTAATTAGTAGAGTACTCTATGATCCGAGTTGGGTGTGTGCAATAAGCGAAATAAGCAGAGCGTGAAGTGGATGCTTCAGAAGTAGTTTGTGGATCCAAGGGTTTAAGCGTATGCTTGTCCAACACAAAGACATCTGAGCAAAAGAGGGTATGCACGACTCTGGTGGGACTCGAACCCACAACCTTTGAATACCTCCATTCACAACCTAGAAGTCCAATGCGCTATCCATTGCGCCACAAAAAGCCAAGCTTTAAGACCCTATTGCATGCACATCACTTCTTGAGCATTTCATATGTTTGGTCTATTCTCATTCTGCGCATGCGCGTGCGGTGTTTGTTTGTGTTTAGAGCTCCGTCGAATTGATTCATTAATCCTTGATTTTCTTCTTTACCACTCATTTATTAACAAGCACTTTCTATTTTTATATCGTGTGAACCTATCCTCGATACTATTCCCTATAAAAAAAACAATCGGATTGCTTTGATATCGCTACTTAGATCCAACTTTGCGAATCTCGGCTACTAGCCTTTAGCCCGCTAGCATTTCACGCGTGGGCTCGCGCCTATCGAGCGTCTGATTTTACACCCGTTTCACTGAAAGGATACAGGTTATATCCAGCATTCCAGTCCTAAATTAGTAGTGATATTGGTAGTATCACTGCTAATTTACTGTTCATCTGTTATAATGGCGAACATATCGGATGTGTGTCTAACGTTACCTCTGAGTGCAGGTGAGGACACATTCGAGCTGATCTCGGTACGATTGGAACTGGAATCGGTGGAGAAACAGATCCGTGGTCTGCTGGAGAGGCAAGCCGAGCTGCGGGATCGGCGATCAGCGCTTGAAACGTCACGCGCCGATGCTCACAAGTCAGTGGTTAGTAACTTTTTGACTCCGACTTCGTCTACTCCGTGCGTTTCTCTGCCCAGGAGGACGCGATCATCTCTGGCTTCATTCACTCCGGCACCGACACAGCACCATGGACCCTGGGTGATCCCACAGCGGAAGACACGAGCCAGGACCAGAGCAAGAACCTCTCCGCCCCTCCCGGTCTTCGAGATCTCCACCCGGAACCGCTTCTCCCCTCTTCACGAGTCGGAACGCGACGACGCCGTGATCATCGGCACTTCCATGGTCCGTCATGTCCGCGCTACCTCAGGTAAGGGTAAGGTGCGCACTCACTGCTTTCCTGGTGCTCGTGTTCTTGATGTCGCCGCACAGGTTCCCGAGATCCTGAACGGTGACGAGCGCGTCGGAGCCGTTGTCCTCCATGCGGGAACGAACGACATCAGGCTGCGGCAGACGGAGGTTCTGAAGAAGGACTACAGGAGCCTGATCGAGACGGTACACAGCACAGCGCCTGAG